CCCCGCCCGCCTGCCCGCCCGCCCGCCCGCCTGCCCGGAGCGGTGGGGGAGGGGCGGCGTGCACTAAATATAGACCTCAAGGACTCGCCCGGGCAAAGATTGCCAGCGCGGACTGGTCGGTGTCAGGACAGAACGGGGCTACCAATAGGGGCCTTCACTTGGGGCGCTTCCCGGGGGGCCCAGGGCTAAAGGGAGACTTGGGGAGAAGGAAGGCTCTCCGGCAGGCGGGGAGGCTGCTGTCCCGGGACTCCCGGAGCCATCGTGGCGAGGAGGGCGCCGGCGGGTGCGGAGGAACCGGGCAGGTGGCCTGTGCGCCCGAGTCTCCACAGCTCAAAGCGGGCGCATCTCGCCCTGTGCTTGCGCCCAGTTAGTGCAACGCGCGCCCTCAAGTCACGCTTTTGTTATTTTTTTTTTCACGATCCTTCTTGCGACACTGCCTTAGCCGGTGTCACTCAAGTGCACACATCCGTGTCCACACGTGCCCAGGCTGCTTCCGTCCGCTGCTCCAGAGCGTAGAGTGCTCTGCAGTTTGTTACGCAGGTTTTGCATTGCTGATGAACTCCCCCAATGCTAATGCTGATCCCCGGGACTGCCTGGGGTAGTGAGAGCTGGGCAGGTTCTTCAGTGCTGCAAACTTTGGGAAAACCACACCCGGGGAAATAGGTACCATTCACCTCTTCTGGGTCAGGCCACACTGCCTCCCCAGTCTAGAAGGCTCATCTTGGTGGAGGAAACAATTGTTCAGCCCCCACACATCTGTGCACACATTGTGCACCCATGGATATACCTTGCAAGTGGCCCCAATAGTTAGTTTCAGGTCCCTTCCTAAACAGTGAAATTATCTGATATTAAATTTACATGGGGAGGGAGGTATTTAGGTGTCAAAGGGGGAGGCATGAAGTGTTCCACAGTGTGTGAGGGATCCCCTGTGAGCTATGACTTGGGACATTCCAGAACTCTCCAGATTTTTCTGAGAGCCCCAGTCTGGGTCATCACTGCAATATAGACTCATCTGGCTTATTTTCATTTAGATTTATTTGTGTATATAAGTACTGGGGTAGAGGCCATAGGTGCGGGATGGGGGCGGCGTGAGAGGGTTCACCAGAGACAGAATGGGGAACAGAACAGGTAGAATGACTGAAATACACTGCTGAAGGGAGCAGTGGGCAAGACAGGAGAGGTCTGCTACGCCATGTGGGTCAGCTCCCTGGCTGGGGATGGAACTCATATTGTAGCAGCTGAGGAGACTTCATTGTGCTGCGACTTAAACGCCTTGCACCATCAGGGAGGCCCAGGAGGCAGGCTTTTTAATGGTTTAGGATCTGGGGAGCTCTCTTGGCTAAGCCCACATAAGTCCTATTGTATTGATTTAGGGAGTTTGATCCCCAGCTATGGAACTGACCCACATGGCCCAGCAGACCTCTCCTGTCCCACCCACTGCTCCCCTAGGTAGTACATTTTAGTCCATCTTCCTGTTCTGCTCCTCACTCTACCTCTGGCAAATCCTCTGGCCTACTATTCCCCTGTTCTTGCATGCACACATAACTAAATCTTAAAAAAGAAATTGCCTTTAAAAAAGAAAAACAAAACACACTAGATTTTCCTCAAGCTTCTATCCAATTCCCTCTGAATCTACATCAAAAGAAGCCATGGAACCCTCCCTGGTGGCACAACGGGTTAAAGCACAGCACTAAGAAGCTAAAGCCACTTCAGCATGAGTTTGATCCCTGCCGCGGAGATGATCCACACGGTGCAGCAGACCTCTCCTGATCCGCCTGCTGCTCCCCTCAGCAGTGTACTTCATTGATCTACCTGTTCTGCTCCCCACTCTATCTCTGGTGAATCCTCTTATGGCCCCTGCACCTCTGGCCTGTACCCCAGTTCTGTGTGCAAGAAGCCACGGCCTCTACACGGTCAGGGCTGGAAGGGCTAAGCCATGGAGTCCGGCCCCCTTGAGTGTGAAGATGGGACAGCTGAGGCTGGGAGCAGTCCAGCGTTGGGCTGCTTCAGTCTGCAGACACTGGCACCCCACTTCCCCTACCCCCCCCCCAAGAAAACCTTCAGGCAATTCCTGAACACGCCTGAGGGCTCCCCCACATCTCTCTGAGGGCTTCAGGGCAGGCTGGAAGTACTTGCGAATGGATACCCTCAGGCAGGACCCCCCAATGAATGAAAGATGAAGATGGTAGAAAACACACTAACTCCTTCACTTGAGAGGAAAACATGAAGACATGTCCTAGCCGATGGTCTGTCAAAGGTCAACAGCCCACGTTGTTTGCACAGATAACCCTTTATTGCTTTTTGACTGTTTCACTTTCCTATTCCCTCAGATGCTTCCTGGAATCACTTCATATTAAACTACTTGGCAACAAATCTTTGTCTAAAAGAAAACGAAACCGAGATGGGGGAGTGGCAGACTCCTAGTCCAGGGCTCGTCTTCCACACCAGGATTCCTTGGCTCTGACCTGGCTGTGGAGGGGATCTGGGGCCAGGCCGCTCAGCAGCACCTCTAAACTCCAGCCACTAGGTGTCAGCCGCACACCCCCGCTGGGGACGAGGGAGAAGGTCTCTGAGGCCATGTCCTCTGGGGCAGGATGGCCCCAGGCTCAAACCTCTGCTCTGTACCCAGTGGTCTCCCTCATTAGATGCAGAGAAAGAATTTCAAGCCCTAAGGTCTCTTCCCCTGGCCTAGTGCACTTCAGATCACCTGAATGAAACCACTGGAATTCACTCAAAAAAAAAAAAAAATTCCTTTATTATAAGAGATGAGTGAAATAACAAGTCTGAGATGAACAAAAGCAGACACAGGCTCAGGAGACACTCCTGCTCCTGTGAGATCACAGCCAGTCCGGACTCCAGGACAAGCATCAGCCTCCAGGCCAGGCTGCCGCTCTGGGCCCATCCCAACCAGGCCCCCGCCTGGAGTCTGGGGAGGGCGCTAACATGGGGCTGAAGTGTGGTGGGGTTGTGGGGTTTGTGGAAGCTGCACCACTCAATCTTGGCCCTCCTGTTGCTATCACTCCCCTTTTCCCTTCCCTCCCTGAGGCTAGAAAGCTTCAGAGTTGAATGAAAGGGAGAGAAATGAGGATCAATTAGCCCTGTCTGTTCCTTTCCTTCCTGCTTAATCAAGGAGGCAGGCAGTCAGGGCCAGTCCTACTCTGCTTCCTGCCTGGGGGGCATAGCAGGGCTCCAGGCAGGCTGGACTGTCCCTCAAAAGGAGCCACACTCAGACTGCACAGCATGCACACTGCCGGCCAAATCGGGTATAGGCCAACAAGTGCAGTGTCAGCCGGGTGTGAGCCACCTGTCAGTCTGCCCCGGAACCACGGAACTGTCGAGAGAAGCTGGCCCTGCCCATTCCCAAGCCTAACTCTTGAGACCCTTCCCGGCAAGGGACAGCTTGTTTTTATTCTGGCATCTTATCCTAGCACAGATCTGAAGAGAGTTGGAAGTCAGTAAAGGAACATGAGTGAATAAAGACATGGCCACGAAGACAGTGCCCCGTCTGGCAGAAGCCCGGTTCTGGTGAAAGCACAAGGCAGGCTGCTCTTACACTTGTGGAGCCTGCAGGCTGACAGAAGAAGAAGCACAGACTTGCCCTGCCAAGGGATTGAGGGTTCTGCAGCTAAAGTGAGCGCAGACACTCAGCACCCTGGTCCCTGGCAGGGGGCGGGGTGGGAGGTGGTCAACGAAATAGAGAGGAAAGAAACTGCCGTCAGCCCTACTGTGGAAGGCCAGTGTCCTCGATCGGGGCGTGGGTCCATGGCAGGGAGAGGGTCAGCCACAGAGGTACAGGGTCAGAGAGAACAAGACCCAAGAGAATGAACACATCAGGTCCCCCTAGCTCTGAATGTTGGGGTGCAGCATGGAGGAGGTTCATGCACGAAGGGTCAGCAAGGAGCTAGTCTTGTAAAAGTGGCACAGAACTTGCTGGGAGAACCCCAGTCCTCGAACCATCTCCCTCAGCGAAGCCAGCCTGGGGAGAGAAGACGAAAATGCCTCAGCACCTCATATACCTGATGCTAAAGTCACTCAGTTTCACAAGTGCCCCATGCTGGAGATGAAGTGATCCCACTTTACAGACAATGAAACAGTTTGATGAAGCAAAGCCACTTGCCCAAGGCCTTCTCACTGCAAAGCCCTGGTCGCACAAGCCCTTATCAGTGTACGAGCTTCAATCACAGGCGCCAACTGCATGCTGGGGGCGGGGTACCTGGCTGTGGACAGTTGGTCCTAGTGCCTGGCTTGGATAAAGACGTTCCTGTCCCTGCCCCTTCTGACTCCCACACAGGCAACCAGCACCACTCCTGAGGCCCCCCAGGACAGAGGCAAGAGGCAGCTTCCTTCCTGACACACTGCTTCTGTCCTGTGCTGACTCCCAGTTTCCTTAACTGAATGTATTTTTGAGGCAAGATTGAGCAGGGAGAAGCCAGGTGAGGGATGACAGCTCATGCTCTGTCCCTATCACATCCCTCTGCGCCTCGGGCTGGAAGTCTCGGTGGACTTCGGGAGACTTCTTTACCAGGGGAGAGCTGGCAAAGCACGGGCTGGCGCACAGCCACCCTACCCCTGCCTCGTCGGCAGGGAAGCGACTCCTCTGAGCGGCCAGCCTGGCTGACCCCGGGTCCCTCCTCCCAGGAGCATCCAGAGCTGGGGCCTCATCGCCCCTGCTGTCCCTCAGGGCCTGGGCTCTCCCGGCCTCATCCATCTCGGGCTGGGATGGGAAGGAGCAGCAGCAGGGCAGGACTGGAGCCCTGGTGCTGCCCGTATGTGCCCCATCATGAGAAAGTTTTTTCACCCCCAATTTGCTTCCTTTTGACCAACTCTCTCCCGGTACCTCCCAATGCTGCTCCGCCCCGCAAGCCCCACGCTGGAGTTCCTACCGGAATGTTCCTTTTGGGCAGAGGCTGCCTTGCTGACGGACAGTCTTCCAGGCCCCGGCCTCCCCGCCGGTAGGAGCGAGTGCTCTCAGAGCTGGAAGGCAGGAAGGCCAATGAGAGTCCTGAGCCCAGAGAGCCCCTAGGCTGGGGAGTAAGGCTGAGGTGTGAAGCAAGGCAGGGGGCTTCGGGTAAGCAGGTAGAGAGTCTACCTGGAGCCCAGGCTCGGTCCTCCCAGGCCCAAGAGCCTTGAAATCGACCCCCAGGGGCCTCTAGAGAGGTCTCAGCTCTATCTCCCAAACTCCAAGCTGCAATGAACAGAGGCCCCTGTCCTGCATCGGAGGTAGGGATAGTGTGAAGCCTTCGCTGGGCTTCTGGAACAAGCTACCCACATGGGACAAACCTTTCTACTACAGCTTCTGCAGGCCAGACATGGATGCAAATGTGTGAAGACGTCTAATCACCCTGCACTCAATGTCTAGAATTTTTATACTGATCATAGATATCAAAGCTGGGAGGTATCCAGGAACCACTTAGAGGCAAGAAAAAATGGACGCTCAAAGAGGTCAGGAGACCATCCCAGGCCACACAGCAAGGCGCTCACTAACCTGAACCGGACTGGCGGATACATTTCTGCAGGGGTGGCTCCAGATGTCAGGCTGGGTCGGGAGGGGCCTGGGGGCTCCAAGAGACCCTCTTCAGAGCTGGGCAGGGTTTGGCCAGGACCCCCAGGTTCCACAGGGCTTGTGAGGCTGGAGGAGGAGGAGGAGGCTAGACTGCTCAGGCTTTCGGGGGCCCCAGGGGACTCCGAGGTCAGACTGGGGACTTCAGAGCGATCTGAAATCAAAAGTGATAATATCTGTCTTTTGATCACTTACTCTGCTCAATCTCAAAGCAGTCTTGACCTGTAGGATCTATCATGGTTCTCTCCAGCAACCTTTCAGCTCTTCCCATCATGCTTCTCTCTTGCATTTGTCCATGATGATTACAACACAGCAACTTACTGTTCTGCTTCCATTTACACCTTCTCAGTCTGGGTTCTGCTCAGCCAAGAAGCTGCCTCTACCAGGAAGCCTTCCTTAAACCCCCACCAACCCCTACAGGACATGCCCCCGCTCTGTTCATGAACAAGCCTATTCATTCACTCAATAATTCTTAAGACCAGCCAGGTACTACATTAGGTCCTGGAGAAATTGTCAACAAAGTTCTCACATCCCCGTGCTTTCGGGATTGACAGCCTATCCCATTGTGCCTGATGGTACAATGAAAAGCATTTCAGTTTTTTGTTATTAGAAAACCTAATCTTTATACTTTCATCTCAATGACTTCTACATAAACAAAGGAGAGACCCTTTGTCTATAATTATCTAGAAATTCAAATTAAATAAGAGGAAAATGGGACAACATGACATTTTAATTTTGGATAGTGCAATATCTAAAGCACATGACATGTTTACTATTCTACTCTGTAAAACTTTTACTCAAACCTGTTTTACAAATGTCCTCTATTAAGTTCTCCTTGTCTTTTAGTCTGAAGCTGAAAATGTTCAACTAAGGTTTGTAAACATTACACTTTTTATCTCCCCCACTAACTACATGTGCCTTGGTCACCCTCAAAGGATTCATGATCCAGTGGTTGCTCAAGAGTGCTCCTCTCGCTGGCCCTCCCTGGTGCTGCTACAACGGGCAGGTTAAAGCCCAGCACTACGAAGCTATTGCAGCCCCTGCAGCACAAGTTCGACCCCCGGCCAGGGAGCTGACCCCTGTGGCGCAGCAGACCTCTCCTGTCCTGCCCACTGCTCCCCTCAGCAGGGTATATCAGTTCCTCTGCTTGTTCTGCTCCCAACTCTGTCTCTGGGGAATCCTCTCACCACTCCTGCACCTCTGGTCTGTACCCCAGTTCTGCATGCATAAATAAATAAATCTTTAAAAAAAAAAAGTGCTCCTCTCACTTTTAACTTAAGGGAAACATTGACAAATAGAAAAAGGACGTGGGTTTGAATCCCTCAGCAGACAGTCCTTAGCTTTGGGGTGTTGGTCATGTTACTTAACATCTCTGGTCCTTTAGGGGGGAGATGGTAACCCCTGGTTGACAGTGATTTGAGGAAGCTTTGGGCTGACGTACACTCCAGGTCGTGCCCACCCCCACCAGTCCTCCATGGGCACGGTGAGCATTCCTGAGCAGCAACCATACCTCCACTGGCATGTCCCACGCGCACGTGGCCTGCAGTCCGAGTCGGGTTCTTGACGGGCAAGGGCGGGGGGCAGTCTTCACTCTGACTCTGAGGGGCAGCTGATCCCAAGCTGGCAATGGTCTCATACGTCTTATTGCTGATGTCCACTCTCCCACCAGTCCAGCGGGCCTGGGCTGCGGGCTTCAGAGAGCAGCGCTGCTGGCGGAAAAGTGTGGGAGGGAGAATTGCCTGGTTCCCCCAATTCAGGCCCGCCACACCCGCCTCTAGGTCCCATCTGGCTCTTCCCTTCTGTTGTCTGGAGGCCTGTGAGGCAAGGTGAGACCCACCTTCTCGTCCTCGTCCTCCTCACTGTCAGAGCCAGGGTCTGTGGAGAGTCCCCAGGGGTAGTCCAGGTGCAGGGGGAATGCCATGGTCCCAGCCTGAGCCTGCTCCAGCTGCCAAAAACAAAGCCTTGGCTGGTCAGAGATCAGCAGGGAGAGCGAAGAGCCAGGCCCTCACCCTCCTCGCTGAGACCTCACCAGCTCCTCGCATTCCTTATGCTGCTTCTTCCTGGCGATGTCCAGAGCTGTCTCTCCTGCATCATTTACTACAAGGGGTGAAGTCAGGGGTCAAAGTCAGGGTCAAAGAAGCATTATAATTTAGAGGTTAAGATAGGCCTTTAATCAGATGGTCTGGGTGGAATCCTAGCTCTGCTACTTGCTAGCTCTGTGACCTTGGGCAAATTCCTTAACCTCTCTGAGCCTTAATCTTTCAACTATAAAATGAGTACACTACTTGTAACTACCTGACGAGGGTGCTGTGAGGACTGAGTCAGTGGTATTGATAGCGCACATGACACATTACTAGGAACATACTAAACAACAAATGGGGTCTATTCCAGTCACTGTTACTCAGACTTAGCTGATAATTAATTAGCGACTTTCAACAATACGATTTTATCCACTCAGTGGTTCCACTAGGTCACTCCCATTGTACACATCAGGAAGCTGAGGTTCGAGAGACGAATGGACAAAGCGCACGTCCACAGAGGCGGTCAGAGGCAGGCCAGGGCTACAACTCAGTCTGCACGCAAAATCCATGCTTGTTACCAGTACTCTGTCCAGGAAAAAGGGCAGAGATCCTACCAGAGTGGGTGGGGGCGCAGGCTGGAGGCGGGCTGGGGCCCACCTGTGCTGACTGAAGCTCTCCCTTTCAGCAGCAGCTTGAGGCAGTCGGGCTGGTTGTGGAGAGCAGCGCAGTGCAGAGCGCTGTTCCCGTCAGCAGCCTTGGCGTCTAGGTGGCCCCTGGGGGTGACCATGGGCAGGTCAGTAGGAAAGGGGACACACAGGTGAGGGGCTCAGAGTCGGGGGGAAAGAGGGGGAGCAGAGCACGGAGGGGAGGGCTGTGGTGAGTGGGGAGGCCTCACCCATTCTGGATGAGGAAGTCCACCAGGGGCAGGGAGGCCTGGTTGGCGACTCTGACGGCCAGGTGCAGGGCGGGCTCTCCAGGGACCTAAGCACACACCCACACATCTGAGTCTCCCCGGTTCACCTACACGCCTCCAGTAAACCTGCTGCCCCCGATACCTCCAGATGTGAACGTGTAGGCTGTTCCAAAACCTTTCCTCGCTTGAGAGCTGCCCCCTCCCTGCCAGCCCCACCAAGAGGGCAAACGAACACCCCGAAAACATGACGTTCAATTTTTGATGATCAATCAAACATCATCTCTTGCCGGTTTCATCTTTCATCTCTTTCTTTTTCAGAAAGACAAAAAAGTTTTAAGCGGCAAGTTTTATGAGGTATGTATTTAACCACATTAAACATGTTTTATTGCAGTAAAACAAACACCACATCCCACTTCGATGTTAATGAAGCTTCAATGTTTCTAAGTTCACAGCTCAGTAGATGTTATAGTCACTGTCATGCATTTAAGCTCCACGTGCCATCTCGTAAACCGAAAACCCCCAATTCCAAGGAAAACCCCCCCAAAACCGCCCAACGGTCCGGGGGCAACAAGGCAGTGGCCTTCCCATCTGCCATCTGCAGGGTTATTCAGGGCAGGAGAATAGTAACACTTGCTGCACACATTTAATGCACCAGACCCTCTGATATATGCAACTGGAAGTTCTCTTCAGTGCTGTGGGCTCTATCATCAGCCACTTTATAGAGGGTCAAGCGAGGCTCAGAGAAGTTAAATAACCTGCTCTGGACCACACAGCTAGAAAATGACAAAGTCAGAAAGCTGGCCCAGGTGCCCTGCCGCCACGCGCCTGCTCCCATCTGCCCTCAGCAAGGAGGCCTGGGGCAGGTGTCGGTGCCAGGCAGAGGTGGGTCGGGGAGCTGCCAGCTGAACCGCGAGGGTCCCAAAGTAGAGCGGCTCCAGACGTGGTTCTGGAGGGGCCCGTGGTGTAAACACCTGGGAGGTGGTCTCACCTGCCCCTCCGGCCCAGGCAGCGGCTGCCCGAAGTCCTGCCCATTAGCGAAGGCCTCCAGGACTGATAGAAGGTCCCGGTTGCAAATGGCTGTCCGGAGTCTCTGGGGTTCCGGTGTGGAGCGCCGGGCAAACCTGTGCTCCATGTACTTGGCTACGATGTAGTCCCTGCGGGCACTCCTGCCGAAAGACCGTCGCAGAGTCTCAGACAAGGACTTGTTCCACCCGCTGTCCCCCGGCACCATGTCCTGGAAGCAGGACCTCCTTTCCCCCAGAGCACTGGCTGGACGCCCAGAGATGAGGCTCCTCTCTCCCCTCTCCCCAGACTTCTGGCTCAAGATCCTTCTGAGACCCTGGAGCGGGGGAAGCAGAACCCCCAGCCAGGACCCTTACATGTCACTCTCAGCTGAGGGTTTAGGGCCACCGTGTGAAGGCAGCTGGGCTTCCATGACCTCATTGAAGCGCGTGTTTCCGATGTTCAAGGCAAGCTGGGGTCCGGAGCGAGTGGTGGATGGAGTAAGACTGGTGGTTAGTCAGAACTCTGGAGGGCTGAGACCAAAGGGGCTCCCTCCGGGCCCAGGATCCACCCCTGAACTCTCCCTCGGGCTGCTGCCCCCTGGGCCCTGCCTAGCCAGAACTGACAAACTGGGCCATGGGTTTACCCAAGCCATCTCCTGGGTAAGCCTCACCCCCACCCCCTGGCCTGGTCCAGGCCCCACCCCGCCCTCACCAACAACTCAGAGGGGCCCAGCAGGTCCAAGGTGAGGGACTGCATGCGTGAGAAGCGCACACCCAGCTCCCGGTGGACGCCCGAGCACTGGATGCAGGTGAGCACGCCCAGGTTGGTGCTGAGCCACGTGGGGTCTGTAAGCAGAACAGGTCGCACCTGGAGGTGCAGGCTCTTCCCGCCACGTCCAGCTCCCTCCCGGCCCGCCCCACCCACCGGACCTGCAGCCCCGCAGTCGCAGCACTGGCCATTCCCGGGCCTGCTCTTCACCTCAGCGATGAGCAGCTTTGTGAGGTCTTGGGGTTCCCTGTCCAGCCCCGGTGGCCCCGGGGTGCCGCTGGGCTCCCCGAGGAAGGCGCTGCTCAAGGCTTCGTCCTTGCTGTTCTGCAGCACTGACACCCACCTGCAGGAAGGGTGTGGGTGGTGCAGGGGTGATACCCGGGTGGCAGGGCTCAATAAGGCTCCCCTGCCACCCCAGGCCGGTGTGGGTGTACTCACGCCTCACACTCATGCTCATCCTCTGCCTGGAAGTGGTATGTCCTGTTGTCTGTGGGGAGAGAAGGGGGTGTCTGGCCCACAGTATCCTGCTGGCCTTGCCTGGGCCCAGTAAGCCTCACTAAAGCCACTGGATCCAGGAGGGGCTTCTGTCCGTGAGGGAACAGGCCCTGCTAAACTGGACTGGGAAGGGTAATGACAGTGCCTGGCAGTGGGGCCGCTTTTCAGGAGTCACCTCTAAGCGGAATCCCAACAGAACAGGCCCCTCTGGGGGAAGCTCTGGTTCCAGGGTCCCAAGGCCTAGGGAGGTCTTCCAGGGCACACGACGAACTCAGAGGCAGGAGATCTCACCTAGCCTGCAGCCTGTCTGGTTTCCCTACACCCCAGCTGCCAGACTGCGCCAAAGGTTCTGCTCTAATCAGGCCACTTCTCCACACCCAAGAGCCCTCCTGGCTCCCTATTGCCAAAAAATAAAGTCTGAATCTTTAAGAGACATTTCCAGACCTCATCTGCCACCTGTGTGAACCCTGCAGTCTGGCCAACCTGGCCAGGCCCTCTCCCCCAGCCTTCCAGGCCAGCAGTCCTGCCTCCTGGTGCCCTCCTCCCAAACGTGACTTTCTGTGTCCTTCAAGGCTAACCTCCAATGTTCTCTCCTCCAGGCAGCCTTTCCTGACTTCCCAGCAGGGCAGGCCTTCCCCTCTCTAACCTTCTCTGATGTTACAGCTGCACCTGTCTTCCGATGTTCCCCCTCATCTTACAGCCCTGGCTCCTATTATCCCATCTCTGCCAGAGAGAGCGCCCTGAGGATTAGATCTAGGCCTTTCTCAGCCTAGACCAACTCGAACGTAAAGCCTGGCACCAAAGTCTCCAAAGGATGAAAAATGAAAACTTCAAGGTAATAATAATTCCAAATCCAAGTCACGCTAATCTACCCGAACACGCCTTGCAGTGTCAGGCCTGAGGAGCCTCACGCCATAGCAGCTGTTAGAGGAGACACACGTGAAGCCCAATGGAAGCCTCCAGGAGCCAGCAGGTCTGAGCAGAGGCCTGGGCAGCTGAGGGGGCAGACAGAGACTACTCACGGGTCACCAGGTCGAAGCACTTTTTCTCCTCGGGGTTCGGCCTCACTTGGCACGTGAGTAGGGTGAGCTTCACTGGGGGCCGGTTTATCTGGGAAATTGGAGGTGGAGAATGGACTTGTCACCCTCTGGGCCTCCCAAATCTTAGGCCTGTTCCCTAAACTGTCAGACGGGCATAATAATGCTGTTCCCATTTCTGCCTCCTCTCTTCCGGCACCTCCAGAATGTGGGGCGTGGGTCACTACACTTGGGGGCTTGGGTGTCCTCCTTCCTCTCCTAGTGGGTCTCTAGCTACCTGGACCCTGGTGTGGGGGCCTGTCTTGGAGGATGGTTTGATGCTTGTCTGCTTAACACCAGGGGAGGATGGCCTGTTGAGCCCCCCACCGGCTCCCCTCAGCGGCTCCCCCTAGGCCCCCAGCCCTCACCATGCTGTGTGAGATGGTCAGGCAGCCATACTTGATGCCACACTTCCTTTTCTGCCACACTCTTCGGATTCTAGGGCCGGAGGCACAGAAAGACAGTGATGCATGACTTACATCTAATTCCTTGTGTCAGAAAATAGTCCTGGACCAGCCCCCCACCCCGACCTGGGTGGCAACCAGTCACGCCTCTTCAGCTCTCCCGTCCCCTCATCCCTCCCACTCTGGGGCTCCCTTCTGTTGGAGAAGACACGGCCTTGTCCTTAGGAAGTCTGATGGGGAGTCTGGGATCTGACGAGGAAACACAGCCATGCTCTCTGAGAACCCTTACTCTAGGGGAGACCCTTTGACCGTGGGCTCTGAGAGTTTCTAGTCTATGGAACAGACACAGCTTCCAACATTAGGGAACCCCTGGCCTGAAGGAGAAACAGGCTCTTGGTGACAACTGATGAATTATGGCAAAGGACAAAGCTGGGGATTCTGCTCCTCAAAAATCAAACCAGCTAATCTATGATCTAATCTCCTCAACACTTCTGTTACGAAATTAACCTGATAAAAAGCGAATCTTTGAGGCCCTCCCTGGTGGCGCAGCAGGTTAAAGCACTGCACTAAGAAGCTGAAACCACTTCCGCAAGAGTTCGATTCCCGCCTGCCCCGGAGGTGACCACATGGCATGGCAGACCTCTCCTGACCCGCCCAATGCTCCCCTCAGCAGTGTACTTCATCGATCTGCCTGTTCTGCTCCCCACTCTGTCTCTGGTGAAGTCTTTTGCCCCCCCTGAGTCTCTGGCCTGTACCCCACTTCTGTATGCACAAATAAATAAATCTTAAAAAAAAAAAAAAAAGCGAATCTTTGATAAAAAGTAAGTAGAAATATGAGTGTTTCCCATAGGGTCTTTGAATTCTTTATGCCTGGGAGTGAAGCAGTCCACTGGGTGGTTAGTGTATCCCCGAGATTGGGAGTGAAGACACGGACTGCATCCAGGCCATGGTCAGTACCTCATGGGTGTCAGCCACTGCTGCTGTTCCTCAAGTGAACAGCCACCAGCGACTTCAAGCAGTTCAAGGGCCCGGATTCTGGTGATTTTTGCATTGCCAGACAGGATCCTAGAGCCCTCAGGGCCTAGCAAGTAAGAACTGTCCATCGGGTAGCTCCCCCAGCCTTACTGTTTAGCTGCTGTGTGATTTGGGGCAAATTACGTAAGCGCGCTGCGCCACTTACCCGTCGCTCTTCTTGTACAGAAAGCCCACCTTCTCGGTCCCAAACTGCTTGTTGCCTTGGTGCTGGTGGATGCTGTAGCCACCACCTGAATTCTTCCGGTTCACAGTCTCCTGTTCCTCGGACGTGCAAAGAAGACATCAGGGCGTCTGGGGTGGAAGAGCCCCATTCTGCAGGGGTCTCATTCCACTTCTTGGGGTGTCTTCTCTCCCTCCCTCCCTCCATGGTGGGCCTTGCAGGGGCTGACCTCTCTGCTCTCCAGCTGCAGTGTCCCCCGCAGGGAGTCCCGGAGCTGGGTCAGCTTCTGTAACTCCTCCTCCTGCGCTTGACGCAACTGCGGGGCAGAGGGCGATACCCCGTCACCCTCTGTGTCAGCAGAGCCCAGACCAGAGGGCAGGGTGGACGCCCACTCTCTGGGCAGGAGCCAGCTCCTCCATGCCCACCATCGCTCCTGAGGGACAGGGGTGCCACATGCCCCAGGGTGAGGTCCCACTTACTGCATGTACTGAGGCTGCCAGCTTCTCGATGAAGGGGGACAGGCTCTGGGCGGCCTTCCAGCCATCTTGAAAAAAACTAGAGATACCAGGCCAAAGGCCACAGAGAAGAAATGAGAGATGAAGCGAGAAGCGTGGGAGAAGGTGATCTAAGGGTCCCAGCATAGTCTGATGGCCAAGAGCAGGCCTTCCAGAGCCAGTGTCCTGGAGCCCACCCCACCTGCTAGCAGTGAATTTAATGAAGCTGAGCCTTGTTAAAGGTTTTCTCATCTGTAAGATGGGGATAATAATAGGGACTGGGTGCCGTCAAGTCGGTGAATATTAGTGCTGACATATGGTAAGCACCCGGTCAAGTGGAGCCATAAAAAGCATTACTGGTGAGATATAGATACAGTCGCCAGGGTCTGCCAGTCCCTGGGCACGAGCCGGGTTCTGTGCTGCCTCAGGAGTTCAGGGGTAAGGGGCATCGTGTCAGGGGTGGGCATGCGGGGATATACCTACTTGTGCTGAGCATGGAAGAACTTGATGAGGCTCTGCAGGAAATCAGGACCCTGTTTCATCTGGCTCTCCCCGGCTTTGAGCAGATACTAGGGGAGAGCACGGGGGAAAGGTGCGATGAGGGCAGGAGCTGAAAGCTGGGGAGAAAGGGCTGCGGGGCTCTTGGCTGTGACAGAACCTTGCTGGCTTCTCAAGGTCAGGGCCTGGGCCTGTGCCCCTGAGGGTTCAGGAGAGGCAGGTAGGGAGACACCGCCCACCCCACTTCATCCCCTGAGCATTCCCCACCTCACACATGTGCAGCTGGAAGACGCGTCGCTCTCTCTGCGTGTCCTGGGCCACCTCTCCCAGACTCCCGCTTGTCACCCGGGCGCGGTCCCTGTCCTTCTCCAGCCTGGCCCTAGGCCAAGGAAAGTAGGACTTGAACAGCCCTCCCCAGCGCTTTCACAACCCCCATGTCTAATCCTAACCTCCTGCCACGGGCAGGAGAGTAAGGCCTTAGCCTGCCAGCGTGGGGACAGGCAGACTCAGGACTTCCACGGGCGTGTGGGGAAACATGTGGATCAAACCACAACCACGAAGAGAGTTTTGGGAGAGTAAAATGGGGGGCCCAGCCTTGTTGGGCTGCTCAGGAAGGGACTTGAAGTCTGACAAGCTGCCTCACAGGGAGTGAGGGCTGGGCAGGAGGCCCAGACCATGGATTCAGGAGGGGTCAGGGCTCATCGCAGAGATGGAGAGGGAGGTGGTTCCGGGGGGCACAGAGGGCCAGGCCATTCAAGGTCTAGTTCAGATTCCTGCTGTGTTTAGCCCCAGAGTGCCGGGAAGGAGCTAGAGGTTTTCTCCAGGAAGGCCATGGGCTCAGGTAAGGGCCAAGTAGGAGTCAGGTGACCACTTCTGTCTTTGCTGGGAAGGGTTTAGGGATTATGTAGGCTGGATGACCACAAAAGTGCCCTCACTGAACCCACGGAGCTTCTCATTTAAAGCTTCCAAGTCCTTCAATGAAGATAGGAAGAGATTCCCGCCCTTGTAAATGAGAACCAGGACCTTCCCCACTGACTTCATCTTGGGGTTGGCTGTTTTCCCTTTCTGTAGATGGGTGGGACCAGGTGTAATGGCTTCCTGGAAACCCCACCCCATCAGAGCACCATTCCAAGACTTGAGAGTCTTTCCACATCAGAGGGTGTGCATTTGTGCCATGAACCCCATAAAGGAGACAGCTTGCTTATGAGCTCTGCTCCCAGGTGGGGGCCAGTCCCAAGCAGAGAAGACAGATGTGGGCTATCTAAACCTGTCCCCGCTCTTCTAGAAAATGAGAATCCTCACTGAGACAACTATGTCCAAGACTGCACACAGGGAAGACAAGAGCTAATGCTATTCTAGGCCCCTCCAGAACTCTCTTTCCCCATCTGGTAAAATGAGGAGGCAGTAGCCTAGAATGGGCTCTCAATTCCCTCCTGGCTGTGAAGTTCTGGGCCTGGCTGAGGTAAGACCCAGGAAAGACCCGCCCCCAGGAAAGCATTTATGTGCAAAACTGTCCCTGAAGGCTTGCAGAGAAGTTTTGCAACCTTGAAGCTGTAGACATTTTGACTAGGTTATCTGCTGTGGGGCCTTGGCCTATGGATGTGGAATGTGAGCAGCTTCTGCCCTCTGGATGGCAGGTGTGAGAACCAGGTATGTCTCCTGGGGCGAGGGTGAGGATGCAGGTTCACCCCTGAATGGGAAGCACTGCTCTAAAGCTGGACTCTGCAGAGTTTTATTTTTTATTCTCAGAAGTGGTTATTTTTCTTCTAAGTGGGAGCCTGTGGCAAGAGTGGTGGAGTTGGGGTGAGGACACCTCTGTGAACTTGGCCTGTGGCTCAGAAAGATGCTTTTGGGGGATGTGAAGAGGAGCAGCAGGGAGCATGGCAATGGCTGGGCCTGCAGTGTTTTGGCAACAGTGAGCTTGCAGCTTACAAAGGAGGGCAGGAGAATGAGTGGGCGAGGAGTGAGGACAGGCAGGACAATCTCCAGTAGACACAATTATTGTATTTTTCAACAGTGAAAAATGTAAAATAAGCAAAATGTCTATCAATAGGAAGTGGTTAAATAAATTAGTCTATGTCCATATAAAGGAATACTATGCAGCTATTAAAAAGGACGAGGATGATCATATAGTCAAAGTCATGTCATAATGATGGGATATGTTCTTAGAAATGTGTCATTAGGCGATTTTATCAGTTTTTTCCTCACTACTTACGTATAAATTGGGGATAATAACAGCTGTTTTCCCTGCCAAAGGGAATAAATATGGTAACAGATATAAAAAGCTTATCACAGTGCCTGGCACAAAGGAGCTCTCAAGTAAGTTTAAATATTAGCTGCTATTACTACTAATGATTACTTTTAGGTGCTCATGTTGTAACAGGTGCCCAGCTAGGCTGGTCACACACTAGAGTGATCACCCAGGGGCGGAATTATTGCTGCATTTTACAGATGAGGCACCTGCAGGGATGCCACTATCCAAGTCACATAGCTGTCAGGTGGTACAGCAGGATTTGAACCCAGGTGTGCCTGAGACCCACGTGTGTACCTCGCCTCGGACTGTAACCCATACCGCGGCTTGGACCTGTTCCATCCCTCCTTCCCTGCCTGGTTCCCTAGCTCATAAGTGTCTTTTCTGATCGATCACAGGCAAGGACTATTTAAAGATGATAAAGTAGAGACCCAGAGAAGGGAAGCAATTGCACAAGACCCCAAGCTGCTCAGGGGAAAATCAGGAGCAGAGGTCTGGCGCCTTTGTCTCAGCCCCCACCCTGCCACTCTGGCCCCAGTTCTGGCCAAGGGAGCTGATAAGCACTTGGAGAGCGGCATTGCGGGGTACACTATTCATGCGGCACGCATCTCATCTCCACATCAACCCTGCAGGGAATGACCGCCAGATGCTGCACAGCCTAGAGAAACCTGGAGGCCGGACGGGGCCTGGAATGCCTTTCTTAGCATCCCTTTTGCAGGTGAGAGGGAGCCCTCTTTCCACAGCCAGGAGCTGGGGGGTGAGACTCCTGGTAGTAGCTGACAGATGTTATCAGGGCCCTGGGCCCTTCCAGCTGCCGCCCAGACTGGTTTGTTCAGAATGAAGTGAAATTACACAGCAACTCATGGCTCGCTGATATCTAGCTGTAGCTAGAATGTACTGATGTACAGATGTCTGTGCCAGGTTATGTAGCTCAGCTCACTCTATGGAATGTGCATGGCAGGACCCACGAGGCTGGACTCAGAAACCCTGAGCTCTAATCCACATCCTGTTGCTAAATCACTGATTACCTGAGCCGCTTTAAATGAAGCCTTATAGGCAAGCTCGTTAGCTGTTATTGATCTGGAAAAGCAGGTAGTGCCTTACAGGCAAGCTCAGTATCTAGAGCTGGTAAAAACAGAACTAACTTGGTCTTTCCATGTAGTGGATGATGCGCTGAAAGGCTGAGGGCTAAGTCAAGGTAACTCAGGAAGATGAAGGTTGGGTGACCACATGAAATGAAGACAGACTGAGCATTCACCACCCTTCCCTGGGCCGCTAATGAGAGCCGCTGGCAGCTCCCACACCCTCATCACAGGCCCCACACCCACAGTGGGGTGTAGCTGGAGAGGCTGCTGCGGGGAGATGTCACGGCCCTGGTCGGGCTTGGGAGGTCCCCATGGCGCTGGCAGCTGGAAGAAAGTCAAGACCCAGAATCTACTTCTTGGAATTGATCTATAGAAATAACTAAGGGTGGGGCAAAGATTAAGCTCCAAGATGCTTCCCCAAAGGCTGGATGCAGATGAAATCCATCTGCAGGCATGAGAAGAGTGGCAGTGCACTAGGGGACTGATGGTGGGTCTTCCCGGGTGCACAGGGGTGAAAGCGCAGCACTGTGGAGCCCACAGCCACGCAGCAGTTGGGACCCCGCCAGGGGCTGACCCACAGGGCGCAGCAGATCTCTCAGATCCCGCCTGCTGCTCCCCTCAGCAGTGTGTTCCAGTCAGTCTGCATGCTCTGCTCCCCACTCTGTCTCTGCTGAACCCTCTCACCCCCGACACCTTTGGCCCGTACCCTAGTTCTTCGATGCATAAATAAATAAATCTTAAAAGCAAAAAAGAACACAGAATATGTGATGGTCTAGAGAGATGGCCAGGATGCATTTTTAAGTAAAGTTAAAAAATAGTAAAACAATCTGATTTTTCTGATCCCAGAATTTTGTAAAAATTTTTCTTTATGGATGTGGTACACATATACAATGGAATATTACTCAGCAACCAAAAAAGAGAAACACATGTCTTTTGCAGCAACTTGGATGGAGCTGGAAAAGATCATG